TTTGTGTAATGAAATCAGTAATCATCTACTATAACGAATAATTCGTTAACGCTATAACGAATTATTCGTTATACATTTCGCATAATTCGTTATAGCATTAACAAAGATTCTTATAACGAAGTCCTGATCGGCTGGATCGGCAACTTCGTTATATCGAGGTGTGACTGTATATTTTAATATAATTTTTATTAAAATATTATATTATAATAAAAAATTTTACTAAGTATCAATTTTTTTAATTATAAAATCTTCATTATCACTTTCAAATAAAATTATATCATCATTTAAATCTCTATACTCCTTTGTTTTAATAAGAGTTTTTCTCTAAATCTAATGATAGTTTTAGAGATAACCTTCTTTTTAAATGCAAATAATAATTTATTTTTAATAGTAAGAAGATTAAGGTGTAGAATAGTTTTAGCAACTTCTTCTTTTGTAATTATTCAAATTCTTTCAATCAATTAAAATTTATAATGATATAAAGAAGTATAATACAAATTATGATTATATTTACTAGCTATTAGATTACGTGCAAAAGATATATTAGTTTTATTTTATTTTACTAATTTATAAAGCTCTACCTTACTAGTATGTTCTAGAATTTCATACTTTTTAATATTAATCATGCAATTTAACATATCTTTTCTTGAATTTAATCTTAGAATTTGTTCAATTTGATATTTATGATAATGAACTCTATTCATATGAATATCTACAGGTCTATATCAGTTACTAATAGATGTATAAAGCCTATTAAAAATATCTTTAAAAATTTCAACATTTGATCAGCTATAAGATTAAAATTACGGATAATCTCAGAATATCTTACTAAGTATCTGCATCTATTTGTTTTCTTTCTTTTGAAGAAGATAATTTAATTGCTGAGTTCTATAATAAAATAGAATTAAGTATAATTTCATTATAAACATTATTAATATTACTATTGCAAAATATAATAATTATTTTAAATATAATGATTAAAAAATCATATTCAGACGAATAGACAATTTTATAATGTAATACTTATATACATCTTGTAATATGATATAAATGACAATAGGATTTATTCAAAAAAATTTCAGATCTACTTATGACATCATTTTTCCTTATAAATTTCTTAAACATTTTCTTAAATAATAACTTCAAAAGGTAACATTTGCAAATAATTCATGTAAAATGTTCTAATATTCACCATCACTATAATAATAATTCAAATATATAATATTCAAAGTAACTGCTATTTTGAAAGTTGATAACTATATTTTTCTAATTTTTGTCTTAAAATAACTATTAAAAGTAGTGTACTAGTAGTATTTGCTGATATAATTAAACTATATATGACTTTTGTAATATTAGAATTGAGTTTATTTTTTAATTTATCAGGCTTTCTATATTCTATAAAATCTATATTTTGATTTCATTCAGCAACTACCTATGTAATTGTGATTTCTTTGATATTTAGAACTAAGATAACTTGCTTATATAATAATAGGCTGAATAATATTTTTTTATATTATCTTATGTTTAAAAAAATTAATAAGTACTAATTATAATTCTTCTTTTGTTATTGATTAGTAGAGTTTTATTTTGTTTTAATTTATCTATATAAAAATAAAAGTAGTTTAAATTAATTTCAAAAAAAATTATCTAAGATTGAATTTACCTTTTATATAATTAAGATTTTTACATAACTTGAATTTCAGAATTCTTATCAGAAAGAAATTTTGCATAACAAATATTATGTATTTACATTTTTACATTAGATAATAGTAAAATATATGATTTTTTATAATTAAATTAAGCCTATATGTAAATTTAACTATTTTGAGTACTTGTAGAAATAGAGAAATATTAGATAATATAAAGTAAAAGAATAATAGGTATTGATGGAATAAAAATGATAATAAGATAAATTTAGTTTTTAAATTTGATCAAAAATCATTTTTATCATTATTACTTAACTGATCAGTTTTTTATTCAAATAATACATTAATAATATTTCTTAATTAAATTTAAATAAGTTTAAATTTAAAAGTTTATTATATATTTATTGATTAAAAATCAATTTGTATTAAAATTTTTTTCAAATCCTTTTATATTATAATTCTTAAACCTGATTTAAAATCTTTAATTATTTAATAATTAATTAAACTATTTGTAAACTGATTAATTAATTGGTTAAAATTTACTTAAACTAAAACTATAAATTTGATTAGAGTTATATAATATTTTATAATCATAAAAATCCTAATTCAGTCATTTATCTATTTTAACCAATTAAAAAAAACTTTAATTAGTTAATATATTAAACATTATAATCATTTAATTAACTAGTTAAAATTAACTGATTCTATATTGTTATTACTGACAATATCAATTATTTCATAAGTTTGAGCAGTCAAAATAGTATTAAAATCCCTTTAATTACTGATATATAGAGAGGTTTTATCATTAAAAGTTAATATACTTTTATATTAAATTTTAAAATATTAAAAAAAAAAAAATTTTATATTAACTTTAATATTAAAATTGTAAAAAAAAAAAAAAAAAAAATTTATAATAAAAAATAAAATTATATTAATTTACTTTTAAATTGTAAATTAAGCTACTTTATATTTTAAGTTACATATATATTACTTTTAATACATATATTAGAAAATCTGCAAATTTATGCTTTTCTTATGTTTTTAAATTTTTTAATAAAAATACAATTTGTAGATCTTTTAATTAAAATATTATATAAAATAATTAGTAAATATGCATATAAATTGTTATTATTAAAAAAAATATATATATAATAAAGTATTAAAACTGAAAATAAATCAATTTAGAATATTAGAATATATTATAATCTATTAAATAATTATATTATAATCTAAATGGTTGTAACAAGTCTTATTAGTTATACTTATAGGCTTATTATATTTTTATTAGTTATATTATAATCTAGTTTAGTCATATTTGGCTATATTATAAGATAATCAAATACAACTTATTAAATAAATAGAATATTTACTATAAATTAAAAAAAAATAATGAAAGTAAAAAATATAGGCAACTTTGTCATTTATATAGTTTTTATTCCCTATTATCAAATTTATACGAAATAATATTAATTTATATTTGATTATTAATAATTAAAATAAATAAATATAAAACAAGTTTTTTTTAATTATAAAAATATTTTTAAGTGAAAGAATGTGTTTTATTAAATTTTCTGTATCATAATCAAAATTAAAAATTGATTTTTCTCTGTCAATTATTTTTATTTACTGTATATTAATTAAAGGTTATCGAAATTATAAATATATGTAAGATTTATCATTATACAAGAAAGTATTAAATACAAAGAATATATAAATTTTATAAATTTGAACTTATTTTTCTTGATAATTTTTTTTATTCTATCTAGAATATTTTTATAAAACTATTTTTGACTTGATTAGCATTAGAACCATAAATGTGAATATTTTATAAGATGTTGATTATAGAAAACTGTCATTAAGATCTTACTTTAAGCTGAAATTGAATCATTGTATGCCAAACTAATGAAATTTGCTACATTTTGATAAAGACGAAAATGAGTAGTATGGTATAATACTATTTTCGCAATTGGCAGTTGAGTATGAAAATACACTACTCATCGACGCTCATTTTGATATTTTTAATTTTATAATGATACAAAGTAGAGCCACAATGGTAGTTGAACACCCTAAACCAAATATAGTTCAATCCCATAAAAAGTTTAAAATAATTTAATTTTGGGTACACTAAATAGAGATTTTTTTTTAAAACCAAAAAAGAAATATGTTCAAGACATTTCGCAAACATTTGGCGCTTAAAAACTATCAATATGAAATAACGACCGGTCTATACATGCTTGAACCCTGGGAGAAAGCTCTTTTTAGTATGTTTATGAATTCGTGAGTCTTTTCGAAACTCTAAACAATAAAACTAACTTACTACATAAATTTTGTAGATTCGCTTTTTTTCGTTTGTTTAGCGCTTTTTACGTACGCTACAGTCTTTTATCTTCCAGAGCAGATGGCATATTTTGCCTCTCGATTATCAGAATATACCTCGGTGTACCATTAATGAGAATCAACTATCCGTATTTCATTTTTGCAAGGAAAAGTGATTATTACATTTTAATTATTCTAGTTCCTAACAATATTAATTAATACCTCTTTATTATCATCATTAATAAACCATTCATTTGAATTATTCATTGGCTTTATTACTATCCTGTTTAATTATGATCAAAATTTTTTATATTATGCAAGCATTTCTTTTGTGATCAAATGACACGCCTTTTCTTGTTATTATTTTACCAGTCATATAAACTTGATTTGCGTCCTTAGGATCGCAAAAGAGCTGGTCTATCTATTTAAAGATTATCCTTCGTGTAAAGTGTGTTGAATCATTTAATTAATAATAACGAAGTTTCAAATTAAAAAATCAAAATTAAACATTTAAAAAAGATCGCACAAATTTACCTGTCGCTCTTTATCATCAAAAAAGTTTGCTTTAATTTCCTTGATAATGATTTGCATTCCTTCTTGGCAAGAGTTAAACGCATTCATTCGAGAAGAAACTTGTTTCGTTTTCTCTCTTCAAGTTTCAATAAATAAAATGTTCAATTTGTCCCTTTTCCCAAGCATGCTCTTTCAATTTGACAGAGGAATTACACTGTACTTCATTATTAATCCAATCTTAATACAATAATTTGATGAAAACTTACTTTTCCTTAGGTAGCCGATTTTTTCTCTGCTATTTAATATTTAAATCTTGGACCGTCGCTCAATAATTATTTTACGATATTCTTGAATTTTTTTTCTAATTTATCATCAAGTATTTTCTATATTATTTAAAAATATTCCTCATCAAAGTAAGAGGTAATGAGTTCATCATTCTTTTTATTTAATAATTTAAAATTTATTAAATATGATTTGCCACTTATATTTTGAAAAATATTGAAAATATTATCGTCGGTATGACACATAATGAGATTTCATATAAATACTGAAACCAAAAAAAACGTGTTCGGGAAAATACGCCTTGGGAAAAAACTCTTTTTAGTAGATTGTTAAATTATTACACAAATTTTGTAGATCGGTTTTTATTATATGTTTAATATATCATCATTACTTTATTAATTCAAAATTTTGTCTAATATTCAAAGTCATATTTTAATTTAATTCATAATTTTTAACGTTGATTATCTTCGCAAAAATTAATATAATCCAACAAATACAAGTATTCATTTATATTTTTATTTTCAATGTAAAACATCATGTTTCTCCTGTTTAATTATAACCACAAAAAGAATTATAATTTGACATCTATATATAAAACCAACAAAAAGGAAAGCGATTGGATAACCTACCAAAGTATCACTTTACGCGGGCAATACTATGCAGCATTTCTTCTTTAGTTATCAAATGACAAGTCTTTTCTATAAGTCCTAATAAGGAATTGATATTACCTGACCAGTCATTTAAAACTTGATTTGCATCTTTAGGAGCTGCAAAAGATATAATTCCAGCTGGTCTGTCTATTTTTGCATAAATGGTTTTAGATTCCACAAGTTTTGCAAGAAAGTCTTCTGCTTGCTATGATAAGGAAGGAAACTTTTATTATAATATTTTGTACATTAAATGAAGACTTGTGAATTAAAAATAAATTTACCTGTTCTTTAAGATCTAATAATGATACCAATCTGCTCATTCGAATCCTAACGTAGTATTTAGCCAAAATTCGAATGTTCTACATCAAATAATAATAAAAAATAGTTATATATCAATAAAATTTTAACCACTTGGCAAACTTATTAATTTACATGTTCAATCACACGATTGTGTAGTTCTTCCCAACGCTTTTCTCCATCTTCGTCACCCAGTAAAAAGACGTGAGATTTTCTCAACATATCCCCGAATAAATGCTGAATGAGTGGCCATCGCATGAGTTCAGCAGTTACAAAATTCTTTATAAGTTGACTAATTAATAAATATTAAGATTTGGTGTGATTGAATAAAAGGCTTTTTTTCTATGAAATAAAATATGTAATAAATATATATATTATTACTGATGTAACGGGAGCTTGGTGAGGTTATGATCTTCGTATATACGATGTAATAAATCGTGTTGTTCATTATCATAAGGTGAAAGTATGATGAAATAAATAACATTTTGGAGAATCTATAATAATAAAGTTATAAATAAACATTTACTCATTAAATCATTAATAAGTTATATTTAACAACTTACTTCTTTCCATTTTGATTCATCCTCCTTAACCAATGGCGTATCATAAACGTGACGATAATACTTGCAAACGTTTAAATATTGTCCTTCATGCAAGGCATGTTGAATCATCAATTCATAATAACGAAGTTTCAAATCCTATTTATTAAAAATTAAAGATAATATTGAATTTTATTATCCAATAATATACTTAACAAGATCACACAAATTCACCTGTTGCTCTGTATCATCGAAAAATTTAGTATTAATTTTCTTGCTAATGATTTGCATTCGCGTATAATCTTTCTTGGCAAGAGTTAACCGCATTTGTTCCAGAAGAAAATCTGTTTTTTCTCTCTTTTCCATTGAGCCAAAAGTTTCCACCTAAAATCGTATTTCAAAGTTAATTATAAGAAAATCGAAATGTAAGAAAGAAATTCTTTCTTTTAAAAAAACAAATAAATAATAACCTGTAATTCCTGCAGAATATCAGCAGCTTCGATGATCTTTCCTTCATCTTCCTTGATCTTAGATAACATGCGCGTTAATCGCGCTCTTTCAACTTCAACATAAATCTAAAGAGGAATTATAGGAATTATACATTATTATATTTTATTACTAATTAAACCAACATTCTAAGTAAAATAATTAGGTGAATTCATACTTTTCCTTCGGTAACCGTACGTAAAGTGTCGATCAATTCAAGTCTTATTTTAAGATCCGGAGTTTTATCAATGTAAGTCATGGTTTCTTGAACCATTTTTGTGGTAGCCTATTAACAAAGCGAAATTGATTATAAACTTTAAATATCATAATGAATGAAGTAAATAAAAGTAAAATTCGTACTTGTTTTAATTGACCATGTTTCTTCGAAAGCAATATCACATATTCATTAAGCAATTTCCAATCCCCCGATTGGTAACACAATTTAACACATTGAACTAAAACACGAGTAGAAGAAGCTAAATCCGATGCCTATTAAAAGTAATCTTTTAGCCAATATAAAATTACAGCCGAAACATTATATATCCATTAAAATACCTGTCGTGTTTGCTTCTCGAGTGCTAATAATTGATCCAAAGCTTTGGCCAAGTTCCCTTGCTATTAATAGATAATTGAACTTATAAGAAACAAATTATACAACTAAAAAGAATTTGTATTAAATAAGTCACCTCGGCCAATGCTTCGGTCTCGGGCAGTTGGACATCACAAATCGGAGTAAAATCTATTTCAGGCTTCCCAAGTTTTCCGTCAGACATTGCTAAAGCTCTTTACAAAAAAAAAAAATAATACCGAACCTAATTTAAACGCTTACGTATACCTTAAAAGATCGATTTAGATTGAACCCCGGAAATTTATACGGGTCAAAAAGCTAAAACCGGTACTCTCTTAAGCATTCAAAATTCTCTGCCAAACTGCGACTTTATAACTTTAAAAATGGACAATAATCTTTTGGAACTCACTTCAGAAGACGAATTAAAGAAACTTATCAATCAAAGCGAAGGTTCTGTAATAATTCTCGATTTCTGGGCAACATGGGCTCAGCCATGTTCTCAAATGAATGAAGTATTCACGGAACTCGCCAGTAAAAATGCTTCATTAAAATTCGTCAAGGTTATATTATTATTTATTTATTTATTTTTTACTTTAAAAAAAAAAAAATTCTCAAAGTTAGCCACAATTTAAAAATATATTGTAATAGGTTGACGCTGAAAAATTTTCCGAACTTTCAGAATCTTTTGAAATCGCGGCAGTTCCTACCTTTATATTTCTCAAGGTATTAACTATAAAGATTGAATGTTCTTGTTGCGTTTAACATTCAAGAATGTGACCTAGAATTACTGGAGAATGACATAATAATGCTGGGCATATTTATTTAATACAAATTTCAATTCAGAACGGAAAGATCGCGGAACGTGTCGATGGAGCCAATGCACCAGAACTTTCGAATCGAGTTGCTAAATATGCTAAGGTTTCATCGTTTGCAACAGACACAAAAAGCGTACCGCAGAAAGTTGATTTGAATACGCGTCTGAAAACATTAGTCAATTCCAATCCCGTTGTAGCTTTTATTAAAGTTTGTTGAAGTTTTCACATTTTTCATGTAGAAACTGAATTTGATTTTATGATTCAATGCTATTACTCTTCAATTTTCAAATGCAGGGTACACCTTCTCAGCCACGTTGCGGATTTACAAGGCAACTCCTCGACATTTTCACTGAAAATAAAGTCCAATTTAGTTCATTTAATATTTTGTCCGATGAGGAAGTTAGACAAGGTATCATATAATTGTATTGTATTTATATAACGTAAAGAAAATATTTAGGGAAAATTTTTTTTGTATACTCTAGGTTTAAAAGAATATTCTAATTGGCCAACTTTTCCCCAGGTTGGTTAGTCTTGAATGGGTTATTTTATGATCGTAGATTTATTAATAATTTTTTGAACTTCATAGGTTTATATAAATGGAGAATTTGTAGGCGGTTTAGATATTATTAAAGAGCTAGTCGCCAATGATGAATTCAAAGGAATGTTCCAGATCAGTTCCGGAGTTCCAGTGTAAAGCGAACCTAAGAGTTTTCTGGGCGAAATGGTTGATTTTTTCTTCATGTATGAATTTTTTTTCACAAAAATTAACATGTACAAAATCTCCTGATAAAACCCATCTTTGGATGCCTTTTCTTTTAAGGAGGTTTTATGTATCGGATATAAGAAAAAGGTTTGAGGGAAGAATTTGTTCTAGTGGACCCTATTAGCAATAAAAATATATATAACTTTTCTGTATACATATCACGTAGAATCCATTTTGCTTGCAGAATCTTGAAATTCTTTAATAAGTTCAATCCAACTTGTTACAAAGTTCGATAACTTATTAATATAACATTTGATTTATTATTGCATTTTATCCATGTTTCTAATTATTCGCCCGCGTTTGTTTGCTAATTTGCATTTTTATGAAACGTGTACTTATTATAATTACCACATATTCCTTTATATATATTATGGAATAATATATAGAAATGTCAGGTATTGAATCTAAAATAATTCTAAATGCTTCCGAATCTAGCAAGCTTTTTGTTATTTACTGGTTCTAAGTATCTAATATGAATTCAAAGGTTGGTAATAATAAAAAAATTTATTATCACAAAGTATTTAATAACACAAAAAGCTAATATCAATTAATATATATTATATAAACATTATCTTTTAATTTATTTAAATTATTTATCTAATAAGCATATATAATACATCAAAAAAAAAAAGAATAATTACTAGTCAAATGACTTTTAATACCAAGTTATCAAAAGAAAAAAAAATAAAATATCTAATTATTATTAAGTTAAAAAAATGTTAAAATTGCCTATAAATATAAAGATTTTTTTAAATAAAAATAAATGATTAAATTAAATGTAATATTAAAGTAACTGATAATTAAAACTTTATATAAATTATATAATTATAATTTTTTATTATATTATTTAATTCTTTTTTCTTAATAGTAATTATATATTTAATTCTTTAAACTAATTTATAAGATTAATTATAAATAAAATTATAAAAAGAAAATTATATATAAAAAAAAAAGTAAAGAAAATAATAATGTAAAATAAAATAATATCTTTTATTATATTAATAAAGTAATATTATTTTATAGTATATTAGCTTTAAGAAATTAAAATAATATTAAATTTAAATGAATAAAAAATTGTTATTTAAGATAGATTAATAAATTATTAATAATAATAACTAATTAAATTTGATAATAATAGTATTTTAAAGCTATTATATAATATAAATTATTGTTTAAAAAATAATTATTAGAGCAGATTATATAAACTATAAGATAAATAATCAATAAATATTAAGATATATTTATTATTTTCATTATAATATTAATAATTAATAAAATATTTAATTATTAGTAAAATAATTTTAACTTAAAAATTTATACTATATAATAAAATCACTATTAGATAAGAAAATACTAAAACTAAAATTAAAGTTCAATATATTTACTAGAAATTTTAAATTCTATAGAGTTTTATCATTGAAATCTAAGGTTTTACTTATAACTTAATTAAAACAAATTTAAATAAAAACTAGCATATTTAAAATTTAATTATTATATTAAATTAGAATATTTTAAGATTATTACTATTTTTCATTCATGATTCATAACCTTAATAATACTATAACTTATATATATTTTCAATATTTATAAAAACATTATTTGTGCATTTTAGATAAATTTTAATTTACTTTTTTTACTTTGATAAAATACATTATTTATTATACTGTATGATTAAGGAATATAAAAATAGTAAAGTAAAAATATTTGAAGGAATATTAGTAGAAATACCAAAAAATTTTTAGTTAAATTAATTAAAAAGTAACATAAAATAGTATTAAAAAATAAATTCAAAAAATTCAAAACTTTAAACATTAGCTAATAGCGAAAAATAAAAACTATATATAAATATTACTTATGTTTTATTGTGAAAAAATGTTAATTATATTTTTTATAATATTTATATACTTTATTATATAATTGATTTTCTTAATTGCATTTGATAAAAATAATTAAATCTTTACTCAAAAATAATATTATTAAGCAATTTTTTTTCTTTATAAAATTGTTATTTTCAAATCATAACCTATATATCAATTATTAGATAAAAATTTTATATTATAAAAACTAAAAAAAAATGTATAAGTATTATCATATAAGTAATAAATAAATTAAATTAAGATAAATATTATTTTTATGTAAAAATATTACTTATTATGTAAATTAATCATTTCAGAAATAGATTATTTAATTATACTAAAAGATAAATGGGAGTGTTTCTAGAAAAATTAGGTTTTGAAAAATTTTTGACTAAAATTAAGAGCTTAATACATTTTAATCTAATAACATCAAAAATTAAAATGTAATAAAAATCTCAATTTTACTAAAAAATTTCTAAAACCTGATTTTTCTAGCAATCAACCCATATGTAGATTTGACTTTAATAAAATTTTTTTATTTAATATTTAAATAACAGTATTATATCACTTTTTTATTATACTTTATATATTAAAAAAAGATGTATATATATATTATCAACATTGAAAATTTATCCAAAAAAATGATTTACAAAAGTTGTTAGATTTAATTTTATGTAGATCATATTAAGAAAGATCTTATATTATACTATCAATATACTACAGTAGAAAATCAGATTGATTTATTTAATTTGTAAGATTTATAAAATTTACTTGATTTACCTGATTTATTTGATTAGCTTATTTTATTAAATTCTTTATATATTTATTATTTTTATTATAATTATTATTTTTATTATTTCTTTATTTTTATCATTGTTATAATTTATCTTATATTTTATATATTTATTTTATTATCTTTTATTATTATTTTATAATTAAGGTTTACTAAAATAGTTAATTTATAATGCAATAAGTAGTTAGTTATAGCAAATTAATTTGTATAAATAGAATAGCTTTTTGTTTAAGTTATAAATTAACTTATTTGCAAATTTTAGTATTATAAATAAAGGAATCAATTTAAATCTATATAAATTATTCCTTTCAATATTATCTCTCATTTAGAATTTGTTGTGATACCTTATATTAACTTACTATTAAGTTTATTATTACAAGTTCAATTAAATTTATCTTAAATTCTAAGATGTGATAAATTGTTAAGTTAATTCAAATATAACAGATACCTGTAAAACTTAAAGAAAATCTTAAGATTAAAAATTCTATATAAAATCAACTGTCACAACCTTTCAATTTAGATATTAAGATAACTAAAAATGAATCTAGTGATAATATATAATTTTCTAACTAAATACTTTATTTTTTTCAATTTAATGCTATTATATTTGTATTATGATATTTTCAATAAAATTCTTTTAATTTTTACTAAATACTTAATTAATATATTTTTATCAGGATTAATATTATTTCAAAAATTGTTAGTATTAAATTTTATTAAATTACAAGTTTGCTAATTTAATTAACTTACTTTTTGAGTAATTCTAATATTAGTTTAATTTCATTTTCTAAAAAAATAAATTCTCTTTTTAAATAAAATCCTAAAGTTTTAATATTTACATGTTTATATTTTATATAAATTAATTTTATATCATAAATATTGACATTTACATTAATATTTTAATAACAAGAACTAAAAAAAAATATTAATAAAAATAATTTCTTTTATAAAAATATTATATTATAATTATGATTATAATTTTTGTAATCATAATGATAATTATTGTAGTTGAAATTGTAGTGATAATAATGATTGTGATAATTGTTATAATCATAATAATAATTGTTATAATTATAAATGAGGAATAAAATCTTATAATAATAGTTAAACTTTAGCTAAAACTATATTAAAATTATAATAAGGAATATGATAAATCCTTTTAATACGACAAAAGCTAAAATTAAATTAAACATTATAAAATCTATCAAACAGAAAAAATTTTTCACGAAATATTTTAGTAAAATGAATACAATATTATTATAAAAGTATAAATTGTATTTATATTCAAGTGTTGTATTGTTCAAAATAAGATTGCTATAAAAACTATATTAAAACTATAAAAAGAATATGACAAAATTATTTTGAGAAGGTTTTGGTAGGCATCTATAATTGTGATTATAATGATGATAATTATTGTTATAATTAAGACAGTTGTTGATTTCTTAAAAATTTTTCCTAATTTTTAAAAATAAAATAAAAAAATTTTTTTAATTTATATGTAGTAATAGGTTAATAGCTTACAAATTGCTCATCATTATCATTTTTTTGATCAGGCTTTACCAAATTTAAATATTTTATCTTCAGATCCAGTTAAATCTTGATCTTTTATTTTATTATAAAATAGATCCTTATCTACATTATTACCAAAATGAACAAATATGAAGTTAAATATAATAAATTTTATTTTAAAATAATCAATTATAAATTAATTTTAATATATTAATTATTTATTTAATTTACTCGTATTTAAATCCTTTCTTATATATATATATCTAAGAGAAAGGTATTTTTTAACCAAATTTTGATGGTATTTGATTTTATTTCTTTAAGGTTTTCTGTATTTTCTTCTTTACTGAGAAATATATCAACATTTAAATTATTAAATGCTGAACCTATAAATCTGTTCTAAATGTTCATCTCAAACTATCCTTTCAGTTTTAAAGTATCAAAGGAATCCTTGTTTATTTTCTATAAATATAAAATTCTATAATAAGCACTGTTAATATAATCAAAATTGAGATGAATATTCTGATCATATTCTTTGCTATCAGGTATAAACAGTGTTAACCACCTTTATAAATCACAGTTATTTTGGTCTATAAGTTCAGTTACTAGAATTATAAGTCCAATGGTCTAGTTTTATAAGTCCAGTTAGTCCAATTTAATCCAGTTGGCCAACTCTGAATGTAAATAATTTAGAAAGAAGTGATCTTAATTTCTTTATATTATCAATAGTGTATTTTTTCAATAATTCCTGGTGATATGAATCAATCTTTGACCTATTGATAACCTCAAAATTTTTAATCTCTTTCTACTCTTCAGTATAAAACAATAATTTAATATTAACATTAGTATCATTGATTATAAAGGAATAAAGATATGACTTCTCTGAATCTATCTTCGTTTTTAATAATATGTCAGTATAACAAACTTTCTTTTTTCTCCTTCCAGTAGATTTTCCTTTCTAAGTGAAATCAACATAGTGTATAAGCGATATACATAGTAAGTCATGACAGTTTATAAGCCAGTAATCTCATCTCATATTCATCAAACCCTTAAGTATAACGCGTAATCTCTAATCAAAGTCTCAGATATCCAGTAAATGATTGCTAATAGAGATAAAAAACTTGCAGATTGTAAACCAACTTTAACAATTCCTTTTAATACTTCAGATACAAGAATAGAATCAGAAGGATATGTGCAAAAAAGTTCTGTGTGATCAGATGAGACGCCTATAGTAGTTGTCATATGAGACGCTATTAAATCTCTATTTCTGCAATTCAAAGGGAAATTTCAAAAGCAAAAGAGCAAAGCATACATGTAAGATTAATAAGATGATTCTTTTGCTTATTACTAAAATTATGAATTTTTTGTGAAGCCAAGTGTAGAACATTGGTGAGATTAACTCCAGTTTGGATAAAAGATTTCCATAGAGGAATTTCTAGGTATAAATTCCTTTGATGATTATAGGAATTTCTGGATAGTGTAAATCTTGCCAATGTATCTATAGTATAGATATCAAGATACGCATAAAATAAATAATATTAATACATCCTGATAAAGCAAGTGTCTCTCATTTTTGGAGGAAAGAAATTACCAATTTTTCTATTTATACTAAGAAGAATATTAAAGAATCCATTCCACATGATATTATGAATCTGTCTTCTCCAATGAATAAAGAAGGTCTTCACTAGTAGTCAATATTTTTTCAAGCAACTTGTGTGCTTCATCAATGCAACAAATGACTAAGATTTCTGCTTCATTTTTTCAAATAAGCTCTTTATAAAATTCTTGTTTGACAAGAGATTATTTTGCTATGGTAATGATTCAAGACACTTTCTCAGAACTGAGTTCAGATATTTTTGTATTTAGCTTTAATCTGCAAGTTCCAAAACTATTCTTCGCTCTAATTATTATTTTTAATTAATTTGACCAACTTAGATAAAAGTAGCCCAAATTTGTAATCCCAAATTTTTTCAAAAATTTGTTAAACATGTGGTATTGAAGTAGGATATCTACTACTATTCTTCTAATGTTTACAGATATACAAGACGTAGATCCCCTTTGTTTTCAGTTTCCCCACAAGTTATATTTTACTAGAACTGAAGTTTTGAATTATTATTAAGTAAGGGGCGTATAGTTTTATCTACTTATATCATTCATCATGAAATTGTTTTAGCTGTAAGTAAAAGGTTTCCAGAACTATGCCTTAGTATTCAATTGAATACTTCTTCAATACGATTTGTTTCAAAATTACTCTCATCTTTAAAAAAATAGTATAATAAGCTGATTAATAAGAATAAACAAATTGTTAATATAAAGCATCAACAGATTCTACATTCTTACCTTCTTCTTTTTGCTCTTCACTTTTATTATCTGATTGTGACAAATAAGAAAAATCAGAATAAGTATTTAAGTTTTAAGATTTTTAAATGTAATGCATACCTTCAACTATAATCTCTAATGCATTATCTTCTGTATTGTATAATTCAATGACAAGTTTACTGTTTTTCAAGTTATCATCTCCACTGCAAATAGTGACATTTTCTGATATTTTATACTGAACTTTAATTATCATTTTAAGACTAATTATATTAGATACTGTCAGATCTTCTAAACTACTTTGTTTGATAGAGATGTGTTCATCATTATAACAGATCCATATTTCCTTATCTTCTTTTGCAGTTAGATAGAATGTTAGTAAAGAGTATTCTGATATTTCATAATAAAACTTGTATATAGACTATAATAATTAATTACCTTGAAGTTGAAGTCCTGCAATACTAGCTGTCAAACCTCCTATTCCTAATAGGACAAAAGAGCATAATAAATGAAATGAAATCAGTATATATTTGGAATATCTTATTGTGAAAGAAAAATCAAACCAAGACGCATTCACTTACATTTGACCAAATTTTATTAAAATTCACTTACTAGCAACGGGTTCTAAGATAACGTAAATATATTTTTAGATAAGTTTAAAGATAAAAAGCAGAAAAGAAAAGCACAAGAATAAGTAAATATTCAGTATTATAAGAAAATGAGAGTTTTAAGCAACATTATCTAAGGTCTTGGGAAAAGTATTAGGTAGAAAGATTAGAGATCTTAAATAATTATATTTTTCTTTAATATTACAATCATCAAAGAGTGATAACGTGTCAGTCTGTTTTAGTTTGAAAGTGGATTAGACATGTTTTTAATTTCATAGTTTTATATATCAAATGATAAATGTGAAGATTCTTCACAGTATTTTATTAATACATGCAAGCAATAAAAAAAAACAAATGTAAGATATATCATAAAGATTTATGTTACAATTGTAAACTTGAATTTTATTGCTTAAATTGTTGCATGTAAGACAATATTTAGTTCCATTTCTATACTATTTGCAATGCAATTCGTAATTTTCATATTTTTTATCACAAATAGAACATTATGAGCTTCACAGTTAAGCAAATATAAAATTATAATTATCAATCTCTTTAAAGCTATTTTAGAATTTCAAGTATGAGAAATACTCTAACACAGATTTGATAATTCATTCTGAATCAGGTTTGGCTTTGAAAGTGATAAACTTGAAATCAGAGACTTAAAGTTTTTCTAATATACTTATCACAGCTTCTGATAATTACCATAGCTTATTTTCCACTTAATTTGCCATGCTAATCCAGATATTTAGAAATTAGTATTTTATCAGATTTAGTAATTCTCCTTTTTATATGACTGCAAACACTTTAAATCTCTTTTTTCTTATTAATTTAAAAAGATTAAAATTTTTCAGATAGAAAACTATCTAATATTTCTTATCACACTTCTAAAAAAATAGTAGATTATTTTTCATACTTATAAAGTAGAGAAAATTATGCAGTTATCTCAATTTCACACCGTTTATATTTAATAAAGTAAGATCTAGCTTTATATTTACCCTCTATTTCTTTATTATTATGACCTAATTTACATAATAGATAGATGGTCTCTCTAAGACCTCACATAATATCTCATTAATAATTTTATAATAATCAAAATTTTTACTACTACATTCTCTATATAGATTAAGATATTGATCCAATATCTTATTGCAGAAATAGGCTCAGTCATAAGTTGATTAGTCCTAAAAATTGATAAATAAGATGTAGGTAAAATATTTATTTCAGATTTAAAAATACATTAAGTACTTATTCTTCTGATATATTAGTTAAATGAGAATATCAATATATAATAACTTAAAATTTTTCTTATTACATTCTGAATCAGGATCAATATGTGATAATTCAGAATTTTTTTTATTACTTAACAAAGTATCTTTTGATTAAATACTATAAATGATTCTATTTTAATAATATAGTTAACTAATATAGTATATTATCTATGATATACCGAATGTCTCATATATTATTTTTGAAAGATTTGTTAATAGAAAATAAATGTATCTAATAAATTTTATTTATATCTATTACATCAAAAAGCTTTCAGAATTAAAAGAATTCTTTTATAACTTTCTAATAATTTGCTAAATAAGATTATACAAGTTCTCTGCCATTGATTTTTTCAGATTCTCTTAAGCTTTATAGCAAGTAATTTTCTATTATACATTTTTTTAGCTTTCAATTCTTTTATTACATTTTTCTTATTATGACCTTACCTTCAAAAATAAGACAACTGTAAGAAATACTTTTAAGCTTCAAATAAACTAAAATTTTAATGAACTTTTTATTGCAAATATTATTCCAATCCTTAATACTTATGTCTTTATTTATATTAAAAATATTTAAATACTATAGTATCTGTGATAAAATACTTTTAATTAAATTTAAAAACTTCAGCTTCTTCAGGATTAAGATTTTAGAAAGTAATAATTGTGTTAAAATCTATATTATTAATAACTAATATTTCAATTCTAATCTTATTACAAATCTTTTTGCAATTTCTATAATTTTTTGACTTTTATTTATTTTTATAAATTAAAAAGAAGTGTCTATACTAGTTATGAGAATACAAAACTTTCAATAAAATATCTTGCAAAAAGATATTTTTGATGCTTGACTTCAATAAAAATTATTATAGCTAGAAACTTATTAATTTTATAAGAAATAGTATTATTATTTTATTCACAATATCTCTTTATTACTATAGGCAAACTATCAGGCTGAATACTTTTAAATTCTGTTTGAATATTTTTACAATCTAGTGAATAAAAAGTTTATTAGAATTTTCTGATAAAATATAAAAACAATATAATAAAAATAATCACTTATTCAATATAGTATTTATGTAAAAACCTTAATATGTACTAGAATGATAATATTATAATAGCTATATTATATTGAAGTAACCTATATTTCAAAAAATATACCAGCCTCTATTGTATTTATATAAGTGATACAATCAAGTTCATCTCAGGTGATATTGATATTAAAAAAGTAATTTTTCTGTTTTTTATCCATATCTTCATAGTATACATAGGCTTTAATAAATAAGTTATTAGATTTAAATAATTTAGATACTTTTTCTATTAATACTCTAGTAATTACTACTTTAATAAATATAAATACCACACATTTACCTTATCTCAAAAACTCATAATATATTCTTATAGTTTTAGCTCTACTATTTAGATTATAAAGAATTTCAATTATCTTATTTACAAAGCTAGTATTTATTATTAATTATATAAATATCTTTATTATAATATAACTTAAGAAATATGCATAAAATATATAGAATAAGAGTAATTATTTGATATGTTATATTCAAAAATAAAAACCTATTTTATAAAAATAGGAGAACTTTTTATTTATCATCAAAAAAAATATTCAAAATTAAAAAGCTTATAAATGATAAAGATTTTAAAGAAGAATACTAAATGTAATTACAGAAATAAATACCAGAATCACATTCTTCTAGAAGTCTAAAAATATATATTAAAGAAATAGTTTTTTTAAAATTAACAAATTATATTAAAAAATGACATAATTTTTAAAAGAACTTATTAGACTTATATATATTTGTGAAAATACAAGTATGATAAAAAATAAAAGAAGATTTATTATAATGAATATGAATGGCTATATGTAGTAATATATAAGAAGAATTAGTTAAAAAAAATGTTTAAATATAAGAAATCTATAAAAGATTTTGATGGTAACATATTAGATATTATTTTAGAATCTCAGCTTAAGGTAAAAGAAAAAAAATTAGTACAAATAACATATGATAAATGCCATTCTTATGCAAATAATAGGTAATAAAAAATTTGATAAATAAAGATAAAGATATTCTATGCTCAAAATACATTAGATACTCTATTATAGTTTCAATCTTTCTTTGTCAATATCATAGATTATTATAATTATCTGATGAACAATTACAAGAAAATCTATATATCAAAAACAAAAAATCTTTTATTTATAAACAGATAGATATTGGAAATCAAAGTATATGTTAGATCAAATTTAAATTTTTCTTATTATTTATTATTTTTTTAAAGAAAAAAATTTATTAATTTTTTTTTAACTTATAAATAAAGCTTATTTATCAGATAATTTTAATATTTGAAATATTGTATCTTAAATACATTAAATTTTTTTGCTTTGATTAATCAATAAACTATAATATTATGGCAAATAATACTCTTATTATAACAAAAATGAACTTAAATTCTAAAGGAGTATAGTCTAAAATGTGTAATAATTAGTATATTAATAAATATAATAAAAGATATGTTTAATTAATAATATTTTCAGAAAATTATAAATTGAAAGAATAATCAAAGGGTATTAAACAAGTACTCAAAAAATGTAACTTTGATTAATAAAAGGAATCCATCTAACATATAAGCAGTATTTTGAGAAATAAGATAACATTAATTCAGAAAGATCAGATTATTATATGTGTAAAATACTGTCATTATAATCTGATTTTTATAAATAACAGTCAATATTAAAAAAAACAATAATTAAAATAAGATATATAAAGTTACTTGTCTAATCTTATTTTAGATTTAACAAAATGTTTAAACTATAGTTTTGCTAAATTTTTATTAAGAATTTGATATAGTTTCGTATTTTTATAAACTTTGATATAATTTTATCTTTTCTAAAATTTTGCAGATTTTTAATATAATTTCGCTAAATTTTACCTTTTCCATTTAAATAACTTGCAAAATCTTTAAGTTTTGTTTAGCAATCTTAAGAACATATCTTTAAATAATATCTAAAATTTCATTGTAAATGCAATTTTATAGAGCAATATTAGAATTTTGCAAAATAAGAAACCAGATGGTTATACAGTTATAGTTTTACAGAATTGGTAAAAAAGTTTTAAAAGTTCTTATTATTATTCTTATAATATTATTTGTAAGTTTATATGCAAGTCATAGAGGTATATAAATGCATATAATAAGAAATTAAAAGGTAAGACTACTGAGTAAGTGGTTAATAAATATAAATTATATTATTATTTACTAGATAATATTAAAAAATTAATAAAATAAATATATTATAATTAGTTATATAATTAGTTATAAATGAAAATTATTAAAAATAATATAATAAATAAAATATTTAACTTATAATATTGCTTTATTTTATATATTTAATAAAAGTTAACTTAAATATTAGTATGCGTAAAGTTTAATATATCAATTGATTATCTTAAAATTCTTAATGCATTATATATACTTAGATCTTTACTTATTATATAAATATTCTTAGTTGATTTTGATTCACATAATTTTTAAATATAGATTTCTGGCATTATATAAATAATAATTATAAAAGATTAATATATATAATTATAAATACTTAATTATTTAAAAAAATATAACTTATTAAATATTATATTTTTTAAATAGATTATAACTATTTAAATTAAATTTTTTAATAATAGAAAAAGAAAAAATTAAACTAATAATATTATTATAATTAAAGATTAAGATTTTTAAATATAACTATAACTAAAAATATTTTATCAAATTATATGTTATAATCATTAAAATTTAAATTTTATAAATTATTAATATTTTGAAAATTTATTAACTTTAAAAAAGCTTATACTTTTTTAATATATTTCTGCTCTTATTATTAAAAAATTTGTTTTATAAATTAATTTCATTTATCTGAAAATTTATTTTAATTATATATTACTTATATTTCTCATATTCATATATTTTTAAATTTATTAATTCTCTCTTTATTTTCATATTATTTTAATATTATTTTCTAATATAATTTTTGTATTTCTATTAATATTATCATCTTTTTTACAATTATTTATATTAATTCTTTTATTTCATTTATTTTATTTTTATTTTTTCATTTTGTTGAATTATTTTTTTTGCATTAATTCTTGTTTTTCAATTTATATTTCTTAAATATTTCTTTTTATATTATAAATTCTTTCATTTTTTTATAATAATTTTTGTTATTTAATTTCATTTTCTTATAATATTTCTTAAAATTTGTTCTTTTTATATTCCTTAGAATATATCATATTAATATTTTTCATTAAATCTCTGTTTGGTCTTTAATAAAAGTTTTTATTATTTCTTTTGTTAATATATTTCTAAATTATAAGTCAAAATATATTGTCATAATTTTTCTATTATTTTATTATTTTCTTTTTAATTTGTTATATTTCTTGTAGAAATATATATTTAAGCTTATAAAGAAACAAGTTAATATAATATAGATAAATTTTATAGATTATTCTTCTAATTCCTCAATTTATTTTTAGGATTTTCTTATAACTTTATTTCTCCAATTTGATCAAATAACCCGGCGATGAAAATTGAGAAATTTATGCGATCTTTCTAATAAACCTTTGGTGAAGAATTCAAATTTCTCTGAAAACCAATCCGGATTAAATTCAGGTTTCTCTTGCAATTGATGGCAAGAATACCTTATAAAAGAATGCCAAAAATTTGTGTAAAAGATAGTAAAGTAGGTTAAAATAGAAAGAGTATCGTTCTAAAAAAAAAAAATTACATTAGATACTACAAGATACTGTACCTCCTGAGCATTTTATTACTTAGTTTATTATTATTATTTTTTTTTAACCGTTTAAAGTCTTTATTATTAAGCAAGAAATCACAATAAGAGTCAAACTAAAAAAAGATCCTAACTCAGTTCGCTTTTCATGAAATGATACACAAGAAATTGAGAAATAACAAAAGCTCCTCCAATAACGAAAAGGAGTACGGAAAATCCTATAACGTAATTATCAAATTTGGTTTCTAAAAACTCGCGTCTTTCATTAAAAAATTCAATTTTTCTGTTAAGGATTTCATTTTTTCCGTTAAGGATTTCATTTTTTTCGTTAAGGATTTCATTTTTTCCGTTAAGAATTTCATCTTTCCCTCCGTAATACCATATTTTTCTTGGTTTATTACGTTTATATTAATCATTTGTGAGATTGATGAATTAAGTCTTTCCATCATCCCTTCGTTCATTATTTGTATTTCCTAGATAATACAAGGTTTTATGTCATGCGAAGCAGATGGCATGATTTAATTAATTACAATAAAAGATTTAACATAACCGACATATTTGTCAATAAATAAATCTAAGATACAAATTTGTTAATATGTTGACTAGTAAACGGCACGGAAGCATTTTTTCTTGCCATAAACTTACGTTTTGACTACGTGATTTTGACCGGGTTCATTATTATTTTGCTCCATTGTGTAAAAAAAAAAAGTAGGGTTTTTTTTTTTGTTTTAAAAAAAATTTTAGAGAGAGGTAAGTTGATTTATTTGAAAACATTTACAGTATTTATATCAAAACATTTTAAAAATCCACAGTCGGTATTGATTACGTCAAAATACCGGTCTTATTCATTTTTTATATTAACCGACGAAAAGAAAAAGACCAATATTTGAAACCCGGTTTCTGCCAGATATAATAAATATTAAATTTAGTTATTTTTGGTTTTCGTTGAAAAATCCTTTTCTTAATAAATTCAATTTCAGAAATGTTGCAAAACTTTTGTTAGCAAAGTCCATCATCTGAATATATAATTATTATTAGTCAAATCTCGATATCCAATATTTAATAGACTCCCTTTCTTTAAACCTTTGCTTTTTAATTTTTCAAAAAATCATTTATTCTTGCAAAAAATTTTTGATTTGTAGCAAAAAAAAAAATATGGAAATTACCCGTGTAACCATGAATTCAATGCCGACAAATCTAATAATCGGCAAACGGATAAATAGCGTTAAATTGCTAAAACTCTCGCGGGGCTGCATAAAAGGAATACTGCCTAGAAGTTCACAACCATACATTAAAGCCCTATCTATACATTATATATAACTTCAACAAAAAAACTGAATAACCCCTCCTAATTAACACCACAAACATAGTAAACATTCGACAAAATAACAGATTTGATCAATAAAAAAATTGAATATTACGAATATAAATGAAAGAACTTTCAAACTAAAACAAACTCTTCAGTTTGACTCCTAAAGTTATGTTCGCTACAGAACAATCAGAGTCATCACAGATTTAACATCGAAACAAACTTAATTCGAATCTCGATTAACGAAACTTCGTATCAATCCCATAATTTCATCAATGAGGGATGTGAAATTACAGTAATTTAATGTAACTTACGCGTAACCTATGATAGATATTATAATGTATATAAAATATGTTACAAATATAACAAATGTAAAATTTACAACCCATTTCTGCTCCTACGCCCAAAACCAAAAAGCTTACATAAACCATATCTCGTTAACCCAAATCACAACCATCCGGTAAAAGAATTCCTCAAAAAGAATTAAATTATAACTTTTCATAAAATTACAGATAGCAAAGGTCATGTGTAAAATTATTTATGATAAACGAGTATTTGAAAGAGGTTTTGGGAGGGAAAAATTTGTTAAACTTCATCAACGGTATATTTTTTAAGACTCGAATTATTTGTATAATATTTTATTTTACTACTGTATAATGACATCAACAACTGATGAATCATTGGGGTATAACTTGCATATTCCTTAAACTTTTCAATATTCCATTTTTTTATAATTCTCATGTCCCCATGATTATGTGCGGCCATGCATGGATTATTTAACTATGATTCTTAAAAGATACAGATTATAGAACCAAATGAAAGAATATCTTTTTTGTCTAATGTCATTACAGGTTGTGTCAACATAATTCTATAAGATTAAATTTTTGAAGAAATATCTGTCGCTGGGCTTAATTTTTTTATTTTATGTATTTATGTATATAAATGGTTGAGATTCGAACGTTTTTGTTTTCATCATTAACTTCAAATAATCCAAACTCTTACACTCTTTACTATCATTTAGCATCGAATAAATAAAGTCGTTTTACCTCTCTATACACAAAAATAAAGTCATTATTATCGGCTGCAAATGTATGCTCAATCTAAGTGGTCGATATATCAATTCGGGTCTTGACTAAGATTATTAATGCATTTTGAAAAATATATGATCCAACTTTAATTGAAAAAAAATTCATAGTATTAATTAATCTGACAGAGTTAGTTATATTCAACATTAAATCAGAAAGCGAATCGTCTTTTAGAAGTATTAATTTTAATATAAAAAGACGGAAAGATGCTCAATCTGTCAAATAAGTGTTACGAGTGGGAACGACATGGATTGTTTCATTTGCTGGCACTTGAAGTGTTCAGAGCGCACCGTGGATTTGTTTTCAGATAACCGTTTTCACCAAGACCAAGCAAGCTCATTTCGATTAAGTTTTGACATTGACTCTCTCGACCAACAAAGAATTCTCATATCTACTCGGCTTTGAGAAAATTAGACAGTTTATTGCGAGAGAACATAAGGGTCTTTACTCATTATTTCCGCTTTCTCCTACAACTTGTTCCACTGCGGTATTAATACATCATATCAACCTTATCATTAATTGATGTAGGAATACTTTCACCACAATGAAACAACATAATACGACATTTTTGTTAAAAACCGAACTTTTATTCACGAAGCAATTTTTTAAAAAAAAAAAAAAAAGGTATATTAGGTAAGTATTTATGTAAAACTTTCTTAATCAGTCTGATTATAAAATAAATAGTGAGTAACATTTTAAAGTAGACGATATCAACTTGGAATCATTATTATCGTTGTCTTGACTATTTCTTATCAAATAATGGTTTACTTCAAAAAAAATAAATTATATTAAATGAAATGAAATGAAATAAAAGAGATATATTAAATTTATAACTTTGAAACTTAATTATTTACATGATAAAATGTTTATGTTATTTTCACACCATTCAAGATATATTGAAACTTCGCTAGCATTAACACGATAAACATCCTAAGACGAAATTTTCTTTGCTTAACAGTAAAAATTTAGCTAAAATAAAGCTGGCAACGTTATTGGAACAATTACAAATTAGGTATATGACCGATATTAACTATAAGTAATTGCAACCTATTTCTGTTTCAAAAAAGACTGAAGGTGATCGTAATCAAATATACTTAGAAGTGCAATATAACTGATTTTACCAAAATATTACTTTATTATTTCAGATATAAACTAATCTTTATAAAAAAAACTAAAAAAATAAAATTCTTTCACAAAGTAAAAGATCATTTATTTTGACTGAATATAATAAATTCCACTTCATTCATATTATTAAAAAATTTATAAAGTAACTTTAAATGTTTTAAATTTAATAAAATTACAATTTGTACTTTAAAATATCTTTATAAATAATGTTTTATTATATTTGAATTAGTTAAAAATTTCTTATAAGTAAACTAATATATAAAAAAATAATTTTAATAAAATTTTATTATAATTATAATGTAGATTATTAAAAGAAAAATATAATATAAATTATAATAATTTAAAAATAGTTTTTTTTATTAAAATTTTTATTAAAATTTTTTAGAAACTCTAATTAATATAATTTAGAACTAATCCAAAAATTATGACTAATTAAAAAAAATAGGATTAAACAGATTTTATTTTATTATTTTCTAATGAAATTTAATAATAAATTATTAATAGTATTAAAATAAAAGTTGAACTTGATTAGATTTGTCTGTGATGTTTTTATCAACAATAAAAACCTTAGTTAATATAATTTTTTAAAATTAAATAAATATATTAAGCAAAAAAAAAAAAATTAAATTAAATATTTAAAATGAAATTTCATATCTTTTATAATTTTTATAGAGTTCTGATTTCAATTTTATAAAATATTTTATAAATAAAATTTGTTATTAAAATAAACTAAAACATTTAATTTCTTATATAATAAATAAATATAAAATTAATAAAAAAATATATTATACTACTAATTTATTAAAAGTCAAAAACCACTATAAAATTTAAAATTTTTATATAAATTGTTTAATAAGTAAAATGATAAAAAGAGTATTAATTTTAATAAATATTTTAATAATTTAATTGTTATATAAAAGTTAAAAATTAGTATATAATTTATTAAAAAGTTTTTATAATATTTTTTTTTTTAAAATCAAGTTTTTTTTTATAAAGTATATTATAATTAATATAATTATAAATATATTTTAATAAAATTATTAAAATTATAAAATTATTATTAAAAATTATAAATTTTAATCTATAAAATTTTTTATTATATAATTAAAAATAAGATTAATATTTCTTAAATAATATCAAAACTAAAAACTTATTAATTCTAAGTATTTAGAATTACTTAATAGTTAAAGAATATCTAATTTTTAATTTATTTATTTATTAAAACTAATTATAATCTTTAATTAATGATAATATAAAATTTAAATAATAACTTACAATTTAATTAAAATATATTATATAATAATTATTTTATAAAAAACTATAAATATAATCTTATTATAGTGTAATTATAATAATAAATTAATTGTAAAATAATATTTTATTTCTTAAAGACTAATATTTATAATAAAAAAAATTATTTTATTAATATGTAATTATATAATAATACTGATATATATAACATTTATTTTATTAAATATATTTTATAATTTTACTATTCCTTTTATACTATTATTAAAATATTGTAAAATATTACCTAATAGTATTTTTAAAAAAATTTTATTTACTTATTAATTTATTTTACAAAATTTATAAATAAATATATTATTAATGTACAATCTTTTCAGGTTACAACTGTTAGATGTAGTGTCAAAGGGTTAACTCTTTTATAGTTTATGTATAATTCTAATTAGTTTTATGCTAGATCTTAAGTGTTTTATTACCAATTGTCAAATTGAGTTAAGTTTATTAAACACAAGTGGCTTTAATCATAAATCAAAAGTTATCATAGTAATTCACAAAAAATTTTTAGATAGGAAATAAGAAATACTTTATTAAAAGAAAAAGAAATAATAAGATAATAATATAAAAAGAAATAAAAAAGTAAAAATAAGAAATAAAGATACACAAAGTGAAGAGTAGCATTATGCTATCTTTTACAAGAAAGAGATTTCTATATAACCATCAGTCTATCTTTTCTAATTAACGAAAGGGCTTGTATTTATATCTATTCTATTATATATTTTAATATATTTAATTTATTAACTATGTTAACTATATTAACTATATTAACTATATCTACTATATTAGATATATCTGATATGTTAAACATATTAACTATATTAAACATGTTAAACATATTAAATATATTTGACATTATTGACATTTGTATTCT